ATAAAATATAAATTTTTGTAAAAAAAATTAACTGTAGAAAATTTCTCATAAAAACATAAATTTAGAAAAATAAAATTAGAAAATAATGTTAAAAAATTATAAAAATATATTTTAGAAAAAATAAATATTAGTTTAATATAATTAGTTGATTTGATTAGAATGATGTGTGATTAGATGCGAATGAGCCGCCCTCCTACGCCCCCCTACTATATATTATCAATTGAGTACTCCTATTTTCTTATATTATTTTAATATTTTTCTCTATCACGATTATTTTAAGTTAATTATCTATACTATTTTATTAAATAAATTTAGTAAAAATCTTAAAATCTGAAAATATTAAATATTAAAATACCTTTTATACTTATTTTTTTATTTTTTTCACCCATTTTTCTCCTCACATACATGCACCCACTCATATACACTCACCTTCTCACAACCCATTTTTTTAAAATTATAATTTTAAATTTACACTTTATACTCCTATAATTAATTAATTAATTTACTTTATGTCCTTTACTTTTAAATGTTTCATTTTAAACTTTTATCAAATTAACATACATGATCGTATATCAATTAAAACATGTTTAAAAAATACATTTTTATTTTAACAAGTTACACCATTATAATTGTCTCGTTAATACCTTCAAAACGAGTCCAATATTGAATAGTTAATTTTTGACTTAATTATATTATTATATATTATATATACTGTGAAAAAATATTTTTAATATTTACGATTTATACTTTTATAGTTATTTATTTATATATATACTATATATTTTGGGGTTAGGCTGTCMAAATTGCACTTTATAATATGTTTTGAATTAATATATTCTTGGGGTTTTTTGAAATATATATACATATATTCATTCAACCTTAATCTGAGTTTCTGGACAAGAAAGATGGTAAGCAGTTGAAATTTTATTCTAAAACCCATCTTTTTTTGTCTTTTCATTGCTTATGATCTGTCAAATTTGTAGTTTTCTTTATTAGTTTTGAGTATTTATCTTAAAACTCAAGTTTCTTGGTTTTTTGCTCTTGGTGTAAATAGAATACATTTGTGGAGTCGTTTAAATATGTTGGATTTTAAANCATACAATTTTTTTCATCGATAGTCTGTAATTGGAACCATAACTCTTATTTATTCAAATTGTATTAATATGTAAAGACCAAGTGTAACTTATATTATCGTTAAATCTTATCTTATAAAAACAGTGGAACTTCAAAATCGTTAAAATTCATGGCTCCCGACGCATTGCACGAGTACACAACTAGTAGTGATTTAGATAAATATAAAAAAATTCTAAAAAATAAACAAAAGCTTAATAAAATTATAATCAATAAAATTTAGACAAAAACTACAAAGGTGGTGTCTGATTGATTAGAGCTTGACTCCAAATGTTAAAAGTAGCAGGAGGTCTCAGTTTCAAATGCAAGGAGAAATAAAAATCTCCTTGTGGTCACGGAAGTTCAAATACGGTGATTCCGGACTATCTACAAAGCAGATGGTCGTCCTGGGATTAGTCGGCTCGCATAGCGGGTTAAATATCCAGGTTAATAAAAAAAAATTAGAAAATAACTTATTATTGAAAAACAAAAAAACAGACTATATATTTGGTGTAAGCTAAACAGACTCTATATAACTCCTGACATATATAATTCCTCCCCCTTCATTCTTAAACCTGCATATTAGCATGACCACGAAACGGAGAATACGTCAACGAGAAGATGATGAGAGGCCAAAGATGGAGGATCAAGAACGACTCGATGACTTACCGGAATCCCTGCAGTTTCATATTCTCTCTTTTCTAGACACCAAACAAGCCATTCAAACATCGGTGCTCTCAGAACCATGGCTTTTCATCTGGACTTCCATGCCGGTTCTTCACCTCCACTACTCTGCTTTTCATAAACTTTATGCTTTCGATAAGTTCGTCAACAATGTTTTACGTTATCGTGATCAATCCGCCAACTTAAACACGTTAACCTTCACCCGTTGTGGCGTATCCAGTGCCAAGATTTTGAAGGAAGTCATTGATTACGCATTTTCTCATGGTATCAACCACCTGGAACTCTTCATCCAACATTGCAGAAACGGTTCTTGGCCTGTTTGTTTGCGTACTTCCTGCGATTCCTTGAGAACCCTAAAACTAAAAAGTCAAAGTTATGTTAGTTGTCCGTTTCTGTCGGGATCATTCAAGAATCTAACTGTTTTGCACCTCAAGGGGACGATTGTAGAGAATCTTGAACCCTTTTCAGGGTTTCCGATGTTGGAGAAGTTGGTGTTGAATGATTGTGTTCTTGGTAAGATTCTGAGTGTGCAGGCTTTGAAACTTTCGGATTTAACGGTTTCATGCCATGGATGTTTGGATCATTGCGATTTCACAACTCCAAATCTAAGATTCTTTGAATACATCGGGTCGAACTTTCCGCAGTTGCGAACCCATGATGGTCTTCCCGTTCTTGAGACTGTGGTGATCGATTTCCATGGGGTTTGCTATCATGTTCACGAGAAGAGGATGTTTGATGATCTGATTTCTTTATTCTGGGCTCTTGATAATGCGAAATCGCTGACGCTATTCTCGTCGATTGTTGATCTTCTTAGTTTGTTTCCAGAAAAGTTGGTGAATCTGAAATCACCATTTTGCAAGTTGAAGTGTTTGAATCTGGATCTTAGGTACCTTGAGTATCAAAACTTGTTTGAAAGGCCACGTACGTTGTCGATTGAATCGTTTGAAATGCCAGAGGTGGTGAAAGGTTACTTGCTCCAGGAGTCTCGTGAAGCTAAATTTAGCATGAAATATCCAAGATCTTAACAGCCGTCTCAAATCCAAAATCATCTCCAATTCTCCATGTACATGTTGACAACATTCTAGGTTGCTTTTGAGAAAGGTTATATATATAAAAGGATGGATCTTTTGCTTCTAATTCTCTCTTTTTGTCAACCTTTTCCGTTCAATTTCTTGAAATTATAGGAGTTGGTTCAAATGCTAACCAAGATTATCGTGTTAACTTTGTTAACCGATCTTGACCATTAATTTGAATAATAAACAGTTGTGATTTAATGACATTTAAAAATTAATTATTAAATTAATATTTTCAATTAATATATGTGAACAAAATATCAAATGATATTTAGGTAAAAAGTAATCTATATTTGATACACGAGTTGTTAGCCATATTAACAACTTGTGTATATCTTCAAACCACATCAAACAAAAAAGATTAGACATATGAATATGTGAACCGTATGAACATCTTCTGTATATTCAGGAGCCAACTCTGCTGTATGTACATGAACACTTATAAACCAAGACATCTAGGGCTGTGTGTTTTCATACGTGTTCACATGTTTTCACATGTTGTGTGTGTGTGTATTCATATAAACATCTAGTGACTTGAATACACATAAACACTTATGAATCACGATATTTAAGACTGTATGATTTCTGATATGTTCATATGTCAAATGTGAGAACTGTCGATTAAAATAAATGTGAATTATAGAACATGAACACGTGTGAAACCCCAATGTCAATATTGCATCATGATCAATTATGATATTTTCAAATTTGTAACTCCCAATTAATTATTTGGGAGTTACATAAAATGAAAAATTACTTAAATACTCTTGTATTTAATATATGAGTTACATTTGAACCAAAGGAAAAGATGGAATATGATTGGTTGAGCTTGGTTAGCATAGTTAACACAAAAAAATTGGTTAGTATTTGAACCAAGCTCTCTCTCTCTCTATATATCCAATAACACGGGAAAGTTTTCCCCATATCTATACACTTAATAAATAACTTTGGGGACATGTGTCATGTTTCTGTACAACGGTTATTGATTTTTCACGCTCAAACATATATCTAGACACAATTTCACTAACGGTTCAATAGGTCTATTTAAGTGACATGTGTTCCTTCGGACGGTTAATTTCACGTATTCGTGGTATAACCGCGTTCGTAGAGTAATTGGCGGTTCAGATTTCCAAAATCTGGAGTCCACCTTTCCAGATTTAGAGACCCGTCCAACGATTTCGCCTCCATGTGCGCATTCCATGGGAGTAGGAGGCTTAGAGGCTCTGCATGTATTATGCAGAGGCTCTATGTCTGGAGTGAAGCTCTGCATCAAACACTTAATCTTTTTGGCGCTTAAGCCTTGTCTCTTGAGTAAGAGTTCTGTCTCTTGATGTCTTCTGCATGAGAGCTCTTGGTCCAACCCGCTTCAAAAGACTAAGTCCTAAAAGACTACAGTAAAAGACTTCTTACTTACACTTTTACAAGATGGGGTATAACAATCTCCCCCTAAATGTAAATAAGACAGACTCTTACTGGAATAAAAACACGTCTCAAATCGAGGCTCTGCATGTACTATGCAGAGGCTCTGTATCTGGAGTGAAGCTCTGTCTCACACACTTAACCTTTTTGGCGTTTAAGCCTTGATCTTCCTTGGAATACAGCACGAGCTCTGTATATGAGACACTTAACTCTTGAGTAAGAGCTTTATCTCTTGATGTCTTCTGCATGAGAACTCTGGGAAAATTTAGAGTTGTAAGTCTGAATTTAACTCTGGAGTGGTCATCAAAACCCTATTTACAATTGACCCTTCTACCCTTGATTTGTTTCTCATTGTCCTTTTCAACGACCCTAGACGTCTCTCATAGAGATACATCCATCGATATTGAACCGGACCTCCAACTATTGCCTCACATGCCAAATGTACCACAAGGTATTCCATAGAATCAAAGAATCTCGGTGGGAAGACTCTTTCCAACTTGCAGATAGTTTCCACTATATTTGTCTGCAATTGAAGCAAGTCGTCAATGTGCAACACCTTCAAGCATATTGCATGAAAGAATGTGCACAACTCAATGATAACATCCAATATTGGAGCCGGTACCATCCCTTTTATCGAAAGAGGTAGCACCTTTGAGCATATTGCACGAAAGAATGTGCACAACTCAATGATAACATCCAATATTGGAGCCGGTACCATCCCTTTTATAGAAAGAGGGAGCAGTCTTTGCATGAACACATGACAATCATGACTTTTGAAGCCATAAAAACTACCATCTTCGACATTTACTAATGCACCTATGTTAGAAGCATAACCGTCTGGGAATTTAAACTTCTTCAACTATTCTATTCACACACCTTTCCCACTTGCTCTTTGTTCAATGAATAGGAAGCTTTTGGTTTAAATATTTTATTTCATTCCTCCCTCACATGAGTATGGATTTGAGTTCGAGTTATTGGGATTGAAACCATATGTACATAATTCCAAATGAACATTCCCAATCTCTTGAGAAAAATAGGAATGCATCTTGTCAAAATGTTTCCAAGCCTCCCCATCACTCGGATGTACCAACTTTCCCGTCTCAGGTTGATGATCATAGTGCCAGGTCATCTCCTTTGCTATTTGTAATAATCGGGTTACAAGTTTTAATTTGAGATTTTGGAATATATATATATATATATATATATATATACATATAGGTATATAGGAGTGGGTTGAAATAAAAACCATTCAATTTGTAAAAACTGTGAAAACTTCATTCAACCAATCATAAATTTTTATTTTGTTCATTTTTTTGTAATTATGAGATATTGATTAACCATTTTTATTGTAGATGGTGTTAATCATGGATATTATCATCTTCATTATTTTAATATTAGAGAAATACATGAAACAATTTCATTAAAATTTCATTAAGTAGTATATGAAACAATTTCATAACCACATATGAAACAACTTCATCAAAAAAAGTATTACATGAAACAATTTTACAAGATTAACAATTTCATGAAAAAATTTCATAAGATTAACGACGGATGAAAGTAGTTTTTACGGTTTTTACAAATTGAAGTAGTTTTCATTTGATCGCTCCTCTCTCTCTCTCTCTCTCTCTATATATATATATATATTTGTGTAAGAGCGTGTGTGTGTGGGTGTACTTAATATATTATATAGTTTGTTAGGAGAAAGGAGATCGGCTGATTGCCAGCTCTCACAATTCCATTTACTATAAATAGTAAATGAGGTTTTAGAAAGAAAATTTACACACTCTTGATATTGAGGAAAATTCTTACTTGACGTTTGGATTTGGCCGAGGAAGGAAAAAAATTCAAAAACAAGGACATTTGGCTTTAAGGTGAGTGTATATTGCTTTAAAGTATTGGTTATTACTTCTTTTACTGCTAGAATCTGCTATTTATGATCTGCATTTCATAAATATTTGGTTAAGTCCTTAAACCAGACAAGGAGTGTCCGGAGTTCTCAAACCGCCCAAGTGTTGACCGGATATTTCCTTAAACCGCTCAAGTTATGACCGGATATCTACCTAAACCGCTCAAGTGTTGAACGGATATGTTTTTAAACCGTTCAAGGGACAGCCGGATTCTCTTTAAATCACTCATGTGTTAACTGGCTTAAAGCTAAACCGCCCAAGGCGTGGTCGATGTAACCCTCTTGATATTCTAAGTGTTTGTCCGGACTTCATATCCGGACAAGGTTGACCGGACTTCAAATCCGGATAATGTGTTAGAATTTTTTTGATATAATTAAGGAGAGAGATGAAATGGCGGTGTAACCGCGAGAGAGATGTAATGGTGGTGTAACCACGAGAGAGAGATGTAATGGCGGTGTAACCGCGAGAGAGATGAAATGGCGGTGTAACCGCGAGAGGAATGAAATGGCGGTGTAACCGCGAGATAGATGAAATGACGGTGTAACCACGAGAGAGAGATGTAATGGCGGTGTAACCGTGAGAGAAATAAATAAGTATATGTATCTGAACAGGTTTGATTCTGAACTGATTGTTTGGAAAGTATGTTATTTGTTTGAGATTTATACACTCACTAGACCTTTTAAGTCTAACGCTCAATTGTTGGACTAACCTGTTTTGCAGGTCATCATACCTCGCAAGATAAAGGCAATGGAAAAGTTTAGAATGAATGACATTTAGTTGCTCATAAATGTATTCAAGAGACTTTTTGTTTAGCACATGTTTTATAAATGATATTACGTTCTGTGTTATGAGTATTTGTGTGTGGATTATCGGTATATAGAATATGTGGGTTGTTACAGTTGGTATCAGAGCCTTAGTTTAAGGGATCTGGGTATTTGCGAAATACTTAGACTTAAACTAGAGGTATGAAAAATTGTGATAATGGGTTTCACTGGATCTATAAACATGGGGAAATATGTTATAGCTGAACCTATTACGAGAAAGATAGATTATATATGATTGATATAATCTGAGTTATGGATAGACTTGAGAATGAATGTATTATTATATTTTGATTATGAAAATAATCATGTGTGTTTAAATGTGACAGAAAAAGTTATATACTGAGAAATGGCAGATAATCCCAATCAATCAGAAAGGACCTCTACTGGTTATGGAAGAGGTCGAGGAAGAAGAAACGTAATACAAGGAGAGGACCCGGAAAATGTGATGACGATAGAAACTCGAAGTCGTAGCAAGGGTCGAGGAAGAGGTAGAGGTACTAGACAAGAACATAAACTATCGGCTCAACAAAGTTCAATGTCTGGTTATGGAAGAGGAAGGGCAAGGGGTAGACACAATGTTCCTGATCCCGGATTTATTACCCAGGAAATATTGGCAGCAGAGTTGGGAAAGTTCCAAGAAAGTTTGGTGAATTTATTGGGGCATACAGCTCAAAATAATCTAGAAGTGGTAAGAAATCCCGATTATCAGGAGGAAGCCGGAGCTAGTACACCGGTAACTGGTACATCTGTACCCCTTACTTCGTCCTCAATACAAAAAGGAGGAGATATCAAAATGTTTCTTGCCTGTAAACCTCCCAAGTTTTCTGGTGAGCGTGATTCTGTTAAAGCCATGTGTTGGCTTAAAGAAATAGAACTGATCTACAAATCAGTAAAAGTACAGAAGAGGACAAAGTCATGTTTGATGTATCTCGTTTAAGATCAAGTGCTTTTACTGGTGGGAAGTTATGTCCAGTTCAGATCCGAATATTCTGAAAACCATGTTGTGGGAAGAATTTGTGGTTAAGTTTAAAATGCAGTATTGTCCTGAAACTGCAGTACAAAAGTTGGAAGATGATTTCCTTCGTCTAGAACAAGGAAACATGTCAGTTCATTAGTACACAGAAGTTTTCATGGAACAATCCCGGTTCGCTGAAGCCTATATAATATCTGAAAACAGTAAAGTGAGAAAGTATATCTGGGGACTGGAGTCGAATCTTCGAAAATATGTAATATCCAGGAATCCGACAATATTTCAAGCGGCAGTTGATGCTGCTGAAATACTGGAACAAGATATTAACCGGCAACCACAAGAAAGGGTTGGAGAGAAAAGAAAGGGGGAAGCTACAGTAACTGATTTCTGTAGACCAAGGTTTGTGGAAAATTTGAATCAACCAATTTCAAGGTTTGCGGATAAAGTGTGTAACCGATGTCATAAAATACATTAGGGAAATTGCAATACAGAATCTCGAGTATGTTTTAAATGTCAGGAACTAGGACATATAGCTCAAGATTGTCAGATGACACGGATGTGTTTTACTTGTAATTCATCTCAACATGTAAATGCCGATTGTCCGCAAGCTAAAGGTCGAGGGTCTGGTTTTATTGGAGGACGGGGATCTGGATATTCTGGGGGCCGAGGACCTGGTTATGTGCCAACAGGTCGGGGACAAATGGATAATCGTGTTAATACAAGTAGTAAAGGAGAAATAAGACGTGGGGAGTCTGTGAGAGGGAGAGCCTTTCAGATGACAAGAGATGAGGCGGAAGAGCACCCTAAAGTGGTAACAGGTACATTCCTTGTTAATTCAGTATGTGCCAAAGTTTTATTTGATTCGGGTGCAAATCGTTCTTTTGTGTCACCATCATTTGTTAACTGCGCACATTTAGAATCTAAAGCATTGAGTGAGGATCTAATTGTGAAAACAGCAAACGATAGTGA